TCTGGGTTGGAATTTGTTTTCTTGCAAGACTTGAAGTACTTTGCTCCATGCTCTTCTTGACTTGATGGTTTGTAAAGAGAAATCTGCCGTTATTCTGATGGGTTTTCCTTTAAATGTGATCTGTTTCTTTTCTTTAGCGGCTTTTGGTATTCTGTCCCTATGCTGAATTTCTGGGATTTTGATTATAATATGTCTGGGTGTGGATTTAATTGGGTTGATGTTATTTGGAGATCTATATGCTTCAGTTATCTGAATGTCAGATTGTTGCCCCATATTTGGGAAGTTTTCTGCTATTACTTCTGCCCGTATTCTTTTTATATCATTTGTATTGACTCCTTCCTTCTCATTAATACCTGTTAGTCTCACATTGTACATCTTTGCATCGTCTTGCATTATTTTTTCCTGCATCCCAGTTGTTTTTAAGAGATCCTTTCTTACTTTTTCACTAGCTGCAATGGTGTCTTTAAGGTCAGAAAGTCTGTTTTCAATTTCCCTCAAATGGTTTTGCCAGCTTGTGATTGAGGTTTTAATTTCCTGTATATCACTTTGAATCTGTTTCATACAGTCTATTTCTTTCCTAAATTGCTTATTCAGGGGTTCCAACATTTTTATATTCTGCTCTATTTTTTTATCAATATATTCTTTAGAAGCACTTAGTACTTCTTTGATTATAATTATCGCTACATTTTTTAGTTCCAAAATTATTTCTGATCTGATTTCTTGTATGCCTTTCTGCAGTTGTTTCTTTACTTCCAATGCTATTATTTCAGAGATATCAGGTGTGTGATTTCCAGTTTCCTCTATGCTAGTGTCTTCTGCATTTGTACTGGGTGGACTTGGGGCCTGAGACTGCATTTTGTTCCTTCTCTTTGTCATTTCGTATACCACTGTCTTCTGATCTTTGGTGTAGAGCTTAGATAGACTTATTACCTTAGCACCAGGTCTGGATCTACGAAGTTCAGATTCCTCTAGGTGGGTGTTGTTTGGATCTGGTGTTGTTTGGATCCACTTCTTTCTGCTGCAGCCGTTGGAGTTGAACCCTTTGTGTATCTCTGGCAAGATGTTCTGCTCCTGAATCAGCTGGGTGGGTCTTGCCTTTAGCCTCTTTGCAGGGGGTTCTGCTGAAGGGTTCCTCTCTGGGCCTGCACTCTGGGTTGAATGAAGATCCGCGGGCCCTGGGTGGTCTCACTCACTCGCCGGGCTTGGGCTCTGGGTCTGTTCAGGATCCGGTGGCCCCGGGCAGCCTCTCTCACTCTCCGGGCCTGCTCTCTGGGTCTATTCAGGATCCGCCGGCCCTCGGACGTCTCACTCACTCGCTGGGCCTGTGCTCTGGGTCTGTTCAGGATCCCGCAGCCTGGGTCCTCTCACTCACTCGCTGGGTCTGCACTCTGGGTCTATTTAGGATCCGGAGGACCCCAGGTCATCTCACTCACTCGCCGGGCCTGTGCTACCTTAAATATTTATTAAAACTTTTTATATTATTTTACTTTTTCACTCTTCTATAAATGACTGTATTCAGTCATGAGGCAAACATTTTTCTCCTTGCCACACGATTATATTGTTGTGTTTCAAGGTTTTATCATAATACTCTGTGGATTCTCTTCTAGTGAGTTCTATGAACCTAATGCCCTCATGATGGAAGAAGAAGGGGCTATTATTGCTGGTCTCCTAGTGGGGCTGAATGTCATTGATGCTAATTTCTGCATGAAAGGAGAAGATCTGGACTCTCAGGTATGGGAAAAATATTCTTTTAACAAGAATGTCACTTGAGTTATGATGTGGATTCATAGGGTATCAACCAAGTTAGAGAAAATTAAGTTATAAATAGAATTTCCTTTAGTTTTGATGTGAATGTTAAAAATCAGAGTTTCGTCTCCTGGAATGTTTTTTCAAATATAACTCTAGTCTAAGAGGGTAGATATGAATATAGCCTCTGAAGCCAAACCTATTAGTATGAATTAGGTTCAAATTCTACCTTACTCATTTCCTAGCTGAATATATTCTAGAGTTACATAGTTTCTTAGTGCTTTGGATTCTTTGATAGAAAGTAGAGATTTAAAAAATGTATATTTCTAAAGCAGCTGCTTAGGCAGGTGTAGTAGGGACCCTGGTGCTGTGCAGGCCCTGTCCCCAGCGTGCACTGAGATGGCAACTGAGACTGGGTGTGGTGGCAGCTTGGGAGGCTGAAAACAGAAGGATCGCTATGAATCTGATCTGTGTAGTGAGACATAAGTCTTCATTACAGGACTTCCAAGTCCTGTAGACCCTGTACTTAAAAAAAAAAGTGTGTTTGATAGAGTTGTGAGGAATGCAGTAGTTAGCACAAATAATTCTCTTGGAATAGGGCCCAGCACATGATAATTGCTGAGCAAGTAAAATGCTGAGTCCATTCTGGCTACTTGTCACCCTTTCTATCTGAAACAAATTAGCTGGATAATAAAACAGAAGTCTTAGATCAATAAAAGTTAAAAGAGAAGACATCAAAATGTGAACAGAGCAGTGGTCATTTTAAGGTGTTGAGATTATAAGTCTTTTATATTACTTTTTTGTATTCTCTGAAACTTAGGGTAATGTCCATTATTTTTGCAGTTAAAACTTTAAAAAAATTATTTCTAAAGGTGACTAGAAGCTCAGTCAGTAGCAGAATACTGAAATAAGTAAAAGAGAAAATTGAAAAGCATATGTGTGTTTATATTAAGCATTTTATTTACTTTGTTAGTCATGATCTAGTCTTCAAGTCCTATTGATTTAATCTTGATTCTTATTACTCATGTCAATCTTTGATTGCATTTCAAGGAAAACATTACATTTTCATTACAAATTTCTGATTTTGTGTGACAGTGTTAATCATTTGGCATACCTAGAGAAAAACATTGTTTGATGCCTTTGAGAAATTATCTAATTTTGTATTAAATTCTGAAAATCTTCTTTGTAGGTTGGAGTTATAGACTTTTCCATGTATCTGAAGGATGGAAACAGCAGTAAAGGTAGTGAAGGGTATGTATAGAGAGAATTATATTTCTTTTCTTTTCAGTATTTTTCCCTTTTTGTATTGTTTCAAGTTTACCACAATACTGATTTAACAGACTTTACAAAATAATTTCTAAAGATAGACTTAATAAAGTCTTACTGAGACTATCTGGCTTTTGTTTCTACTGCCAAACCTTAAAAGGATTTTTAGCTAAATGACTGTTCTATTCTTTGGCTCAGGAGCAAACAAAATAAAAATCTATAAGAATATTACAATTTCTCTAACTCTTAAAGTACTATTAGAAAAGTTTTTCTTCAAAGGGATTACATTCTTAATTGTGTTCTTAATTAAGCTTAATTGGCTTAAAATTGGCAGTATGAGATATATTATGGGATTATATAAAATATTCACATTAGGTAAGGCATGGTGGCTTGCAGGCCTATAATCCCAGCCACTCAGAAGGTTGAGGCAGGAGAGTCAAAAGTTTGGGGCCCACCCCAGCAACAGGACAAGACCTGTTTCAAAGAGCAAACATGATAGGGAACTGAATGAGAGGTTTCTGGAACTCTTTACAACCTTTCCACCTCTTCTAGTGAGTCTAAATTATTCCAAAATGAAGCAATTTAAATTTTTAAAAATAGTATTTGTAATACTTGGTGATTAGAGAGCAGAAGTGTACCTTATATTTTTACATACTCAACAGTTAAAAGCATAATTATTAATCCAAAGCTTTAACCTTGGAAATTGAGTTTAAAAGTATACCTGTTGCTCACTCTTTTGGCAGTTGGATGGGCACTGGACATAAATTTGGTGTTCACCTGAAGAGTCTGTTTAACCTATGCCTATTATAGATTAGTTGGTTCCAAATGCTTGGCTTTTATACCATTTACTTTGAATATTGTATGTAGCACTTATACATAGCACTTAACAGCAAACATATATGGCCTTTGACAATAACTATATTACACCACAATGAGTTTAATTCACCTTCTGTGACAAGTAGAAAATTGTTGCTATAAACAATACTAGTGAAGCTGAAAAATTAATTCACAAAAGATACTTTGTAAGTCACTGATAGAGCATAAAATGTAATACCTAAAACCTAAGTTAGTAAAGTTTGAAAGTACTTTTTTTTTTTCAATTTTTACTCACTTTTTATTGAGTATAACTGACTTAAAATCATATTTATTTAAGATGTACAACATCATGTTTTGAGATACATATACATTGTGAAATGATTATTACAATCAAGCTAATTAATATCACCTCACATACATATAGCAATTCTTAATTTGTCTTCTTTTTTTTGTGTGTGGGGGTCTTTTTGAGACAAGGTCTCACTATGTAGTTCAGGCTGACCCTGAGCTCACTTTGTAGTCAGGCTGGTGGTGCACTTGAAAAAATTCTCCTCCCTCTGCCTCTTGAGTGCTAGGATTACAGGCATGCACCACCATGCCTGGCGCAATTCTTAATTTCTTCTTCTTTTTTTTTTTTTTTTTCAAAACTGGGGATTGAACTCAGGCCCTTGTGCTTGCCAGGGAAGCGCTTATTCTACTGAGCCATCTCCCTGACCCCTTAGATAATTTCTTGATACTTATCTTTATATATCAGTAGACTTTGGAGAGGGTACCAGGACTCTTAACTCAGGACCTTGTACTTACCAGGCAGGTGCTGTGCTGCTAAGTTATATCCCTACCCCCTAATATACTTTTTAAAATAAAAATAGACAATTCCATATGTACTATTTTGTACCTGTTACTTCACTTAACAGTGTAGTGGATAGCTTTCATCTCAGTAAATTCATATTTATGGGGCTGGAGAGATAGCAAGCACCTGCTTAGGCAAGCTGCAGCAAATTTAGACAAGCATGCAGGGGCCGTAGTTCGATCCCTGGCACCACATGCTGTGCCAGCCCCACCCCTAGGGTGGGCTGAGCAAGCCACAAAAAAAAATAAATTTAAAAAAGTAAATTAATTCATGTTTACATCATTATCTCTTAACTATTTAATCAATATTCCCTCCCTTACTCCCCCTCTTTATTTCCTTCCATTAGACTAATAACAGTCTCCCTCCTATGTTCATGTCATCATTTTTATATTCCACATACTTGGGAAAACATGGAGTATTTGTCCTTCTGAGTGATTGCTTCCATCTTTTTATAGATAATATACAGAATTTCATTTCTGTTAATGCTGAATAATGTTCCATTGCATATTCATACCACATTTTCTTCAGCCATTCATCTATTGATGGTCACCTACACAGGTTTCATATCTTTTTTTTTTTTCTTTTACAGGTTCCATATCTTTGCTTTTTTTTTTAATGTATTTAGTATAGGGATTACAGGGTCTCACTATGTAGATTGGACTCATAGTGATTCTCCTGTGTTCAGCCTCCCAAGCACTGGGATTACAGGTGTGCATCCCCAGGGCAGGGCCAGCACTACACACCGGGGATTGAACCCTGGCTGTTGCTCTCTGCCTAAGCAGGCACTTTAGTCTGCTGAGCCGTGTGGCCAGCCCTCCTTGGCTGTTTTGAATTGTGCTTCCCTAAACAGGTATACAGGCATTACTATAGTGTGCTGGCTTCAGTTCCCTCTGGCATATGCCAAGGAGTGTTACAGTTGGATCAAATGGTAGTTCTATTTTTAGGGGGGATTTTTGTAAGATTTCTTTTCTTTATGTTTTTAGTACAGGTTCTACAGGGTCTCACTACACAGATTAGATTTGTAGTGATCCTCCTGTTTTCAGCCTCCCAAGCACTGGGAAGATTTTATTTATTTATTTATTTATTTATTTATTTATTGTTATACCCAAATAAAATTACCTACTAGCTATCATGTCCCCATCTCCCTCCACTAAATCTAGGCAACCACTGAGCCACTCTGTCCTGCATAGTTTCCTAGTCTGGGATTTTTTTTTTTTTTTTTCAAAATAGAATGTGCTCATAGCAACAGTAACAAATTTAATATACCAACAACAAAAAAAAATAGAAACCCTGCAAAGTGAGTTCTTTAGAGTAAAACTAACAGCAGAAACATACTTCGAATGCAGTAACTTTCTATTTAAGCACTGTGTCAGTGTGGATTTCTTTCTTTCTTTTCTTTTCTCCTTCCAGTAATAGAGAACAAAGCCAGGGCCTTCACACTGAGTTCCATCCCCAGCCCTTTGTTATTTCTAATTTGAGACAAGGTCTTACTAAATCACTGAGTTTGCCCAGGCTAGGTTTGAATTCTTGATCCTACTGTGTCCACTTCCAAGAGTCTGGGATTATAGATATGCGCCATGACATCCAGCTTCATCTCTGAACTTTTGAGCCTTTCTTATTGGTGTGTCATGGGTTATATGTCACATGTGTCTTTTGGCTTAGTGTATCTGTGCCTTAATTTCTTCCCATTATTTATGAAAAGGGTAGATGGAAGGAAAGACCTTTGTATTTCCAGTGTTACTTTACTTGACCTTTATCTTCCCCACCCTTTTTCCCCCTCCTAGGGATGGTCAGATTACTGCAATTCTGGACCAGAAGAACTATGTCGAAGAACTCAACAGACATCTAAAGTAAATAATGAATAAATAATATTTTTTTACTAAGATTTTTTGGAAGAGAAGGAAAGTGTAAAAACAATTAGGGTAAATTCAGAAACTAGATAGCATTATAGCTAGCAGGCATTTAGTTAGGATCTGGATAGACTGGACTTAACTATTAAGTGAGCTTTAATAAAAGGCAAATCAGATTATTATGAAATTATAACTAGTGATTAAAAACATTCAATTGAGAGTTATATATTGTAAAATGGGAAGAAGTTCAAAAGGAAAGAGAAACTGGGATAGGGAAAAGGAGAAAAGAAAGAAGGGAAAAGAATTATAATGTGACACATAGAATTCTTAATTCAGTGGATAAAGTCACAGATTACAAGGCTGATCTTGAGTAAACACTTGTTTTAGTTTCTTCAGATGATTCATATCTCTTGTTCCCTCACACTTCACACTTAGGCATTGAGTTGACTGTTAACAAATCCTCACCAAGTATTGCAGAGCTCTGTAGACCAGGAAGCAGTTTCCCTGGTGGGGAGTAGGGGGTGAGGAGATATCTACAACTGTTGATAACCTAGGGCTTTGATGTTTCTGTTATACTAAAGACTACCAATTAATTCCAGAGATCAGCATATCCATTAGTTATCTTGTTAACAGTTCATAGAACTTCCATAAGTTCTATCATAAAAGCCATTTTTAATTCAAGACTTAACAGTATGCTAGGATGACATTGTTTTAGTTTTCTTGGTTCCAGATGACAAATACAATTTAAGTTCATTTTCTCTGGAGACCAAGAGTCCATTGTGACTATTATGAGCCTTAGCGATATCAGCCAACCCAAGCCAACCATGTCACTGTGGTTGACAGTGAAATATAAATATAACCCTACAGGGCCGGGGAGATGGCTCAGTGGAATAAGCGCTTCCCTGGCAAGCGCAAGGGCCTGAGTTCAATCCCCGGTTCCGCCAAAAAAAAAATAAATATACTCTATTGTTTACTCTTTTTTTAGTTTCTAACACATAGGATGATGGTAAAGTAAATGAAATAATGCAGTGCAAGCAAAATAATTCATTCAGAAGAGTGGTTGTTGAGCTAGACATGGTAGCTCACACCTGTAACCCATGTTGCTCAGAAGGCTGAGGCAGGGTGATCAAAGGTTTGAGGCCAATCTTGGCAGCTTAGTAAGCCCCTGTCAGAGAATTTATAAGGGGCTTGGGATGTAGCTCAGTAGCCCCTATGTTCAGTCATGGGGGGGCAAGCTTAATTAAATATTTAACTGAATACAGACTCCAATGCAGCCCGTGCAGCAAGACACACCTTTGTAAATTGTCTAAAAGCCTACAAGTCCATCAACAATTGTGGATACTAGACAATGAAGGATAAGTGTGATGGAGGTCTGACAAAGAAGGCACAGCTTAATATTCTGTTTTTTCAATGAAGACTATCTGGGTTTTTTCTTCTCTTAACAGTGCTACAGTAAATAACCTTCAGGGCAAGGTAGATGCATTAGAAAAATCCAACACTAAACTGACAGAGGAGGTACGTGTTTTGAAATTCTTTGATCTGTAAAATTTAATAACATGTATTAGTGAAACCAGTGATGTTTATCTCACCTTAGGAGTAAAGGACCTGACTTCAGGTGATATCTACTCTAGTACACAGCCCCTTGCCCTGACTGGCTGGTCACCTACTCCAGCTTCTCCTGCATCCATCTGGACTGGACAGGCTCATTGGCTAATAGGAATATTCTGTCTGGGCTGATTTCTAGTAAAAAGTTCAACAGCATGATTTTCATCATCTCTTTGTTTAATAAGTATTTTGGCCACTATTATGTGCTGAACCTAATAGTGATTTTTATGTGTCAGGCACTGACTTATGTGTTCAGCATGGCAAGCTCCTGACCCCACGCTATGGAATAGAAAAGGTAGCGAGTCCTGGTCAGAACTTGCTCATGGGGCCTCTAGAGACTCGACTCCTCATTGGCCAGGACACAGGGTAGCCCTGCTCACCCTTTGGTCTTGGTGACTCCAAAGAGCTTTCAGGAAGTTCTTGAGCAAAGTCCCTATGACAGGAAAATTCACCTCATGTTTTACTTATGATTTTTTTTACTTATGATTAATAAAGCTGTTTTTATCTAACTTGCCAAAGATTACATTACAGATTTAATTCCTTCAGTATCATTAGGTGTTTCTACAAAATATAAGTAAAATTATCAGTATTACAAGGCTTATTTTTTGTTTCTTCCTATAGTTGTTCCATTATATATAGTAAGATAAATTTGGTTTAAGTAGAGTCAAATTAAAGTCAGGAATATGCTGTTGAACCAGTTTTTCTTCAAAAAAGCTTGTTATACTTTTAAAACACCTTTGTAACTCTGAGTTCCAGTTGTGAATGATTTTATTTTTAAAAATATTTTTGTAGCAGGAATCGGATTCATGACCTTGTGCTTGCCAAGCAGGTTCTATACCACTGAGCTATTTTCCCAGCCCAAGATTTTTTAAATTATGTATCAGAACTTAATTCACAGAAATGCCACTTAAATAGTCATATAGGCCCCTCTATCTGGCACCTGTTTTCCTACAGCTATACTGCAACCCTGCTGAGAGCAATAGCTGGATAGTCTATAGACTTGCCCTACATAGGTGCACAGCTGGCATTTCTTCACCTTCTAATGTTGGGCCAAATACTTGAGTCTCTCTTCTACTCCTTGGCTTACCTATCTATAAAATGGTTTGCTTAGCGGGGTGTGGTGGCACACACCTGTAATCCCAGCACTCAGGAGGCTGAGGCAATTATTAATTGTTTCCAGTTTGAAACCAGCCTGGGAGAGCCGGGGAGATGGACCAGTGGAATAAGCACTTCCCTGGCAAGCGCAAGGGCCTAAGTTCAATCCCCAGTTCCGCAATGGAAAAAAAAAAAAACCACTGAAACTGGCCTGGGCTACAACGTGAGCCCAAGGCCAGCTTGAACTGCATAGCAAGTCCTTGTCTCAAAAAGACAAAAAGTGGGGCTGGTGAGATGGCTCAGTGGTCTAAAGCACCTACTTAGAACAAGCTTAGCAAAGCACAGGGACCGCGGTTCAATCCCCCAGCACCACATGCCAGTCAGCCCCGCCCCCTGGTGGGCTGAGCTGGCCACACACACACAAATAAATAAATTAAAAAAAAAAAAAGACAAAAAGTAATGAGATAAAAATAAACAACACAAACAATGATTTGCTTATCTCCACCTTATAATATTTTGTGAAGTTATTCAAATTAAATGATTTATGCACAATAATGACCTAGAACAGTGTCTGACACTTCCTTTGCACACAATAAAAATGTGATTGTTGCTAACACTATAGCACACACACGACATCCTGGTACTTGGGAGACTGAGGCAGGATCCCGTGTTCCATGCAGACCTGGCCAACTAAGCAAGACTCCATCTCAGAAAAGCACTAGGGTACAGCTCCATGTAAAGCACTCATGGGGTTAAAATCCCTGGTGCTGTGATCAACGGTAAAGGGATGGGCTGTTAATTTTGCCTGACTACAGGACGCTTCCCATAACTTAGGTTTATTACATTAATAGTACTCATTTATTACTTATCTTACAAATAACATTTATTCTCTTAAAACTGAAATTAGCACTATGTGCACTTTATAGAGAACAGATAAAGCTAGTCAGGACTGCATTTTCTCTTCTATTTTGAGATTTAAGAGGGCCAGTACAAACAGACTCTTTACCCAGTGTGACAGGATTATAAGAACTGAGCAGATGAACATATCAATGTCCCCTTGACCACTGGTAAAGCTAAAGTAATGTGCCCACTTGGGTCTAGAGCCCAAATCAGGTTTCCCAGTCCTTTCCAGGAAGCTAAGTCTTAGACTCATCTGTCTACCATGAACTTAGATTGGGAGAGGACACTGCTTATCCCTTCTTACACCCTAGCAAGTTCACTGGGCAGACAGAAGCAGCTTAAAAAGCACAGCCGCCTGTCATCTCTTGCGCTACCCAGCTGGATCAGAAGCTGGCAGGGCCTTCTGTTACTAGCAAGGAGCTGGCTGCCCACTTCATTCCCTGTGGAATTCAGGCACTGCCTGTCCTCAGGTGCAATTGAGTTCACATGGTACAGAGAAGGAAGTGTTTCATTCTTGCTTTTCCCTACTGTGGAAGAGCAGCAGGAAGCAACTCCTTAGCTCCGTGACAGGACCTTATCTTGGCTGGTGCCTAGGATCTACTGGGTCTCTTCAGAAGTGAGGACTGGGGTTGCTTCTTCACTTTCAAGGTTAGCGACAGAGGTCTTCCATGGAACTCATGGTGGCTTGGCAATGTGGGCTTACAGTGCACTGGGACCTCTTTACTACATGTTAGAAACAGGCCTTATGAAGTTGTTCAGGAGAACTTTTTATTGATAGCTTTCTGTATTTCTAAGAATGAGCCTGAAAATTACATCCTAGAAAATTTTAAACTGTTACTAAAGAATAAAAGATTATTTTTAAAATTTTATTACTAGCTTGCTGTTGCAAACAACAGGATTATTACCTTACAAGAAGAAATGGAAAGAGTTAAAGAAGAAAGCTCTTACATACTGGAATCCAATCGGAAGGTGAGCCTTCCCTTTTTTTTCCTTTTTTATTTTCATTAGTACTTTTTTTTTTCAGCACGCAAAATATATTTTAATGCTATTATATTGAACCTTAAATTATATAATTATATTTCAGATCATTTATTATATATTGTACAAAATATATGATTACCACTTTCATAGTTTTCTTATTAAAAACATCATAAAATTCTAAGACCACACTTTTTGCATTGTATATACCATATCATAAATATCATGCCTCAGTATCATTCTTTTACTTTATGATATTATATACGTATATCACAAACTTTTATGTTGATAAATCTTTTTTTTTAACTTTTCTTTTTTTTTTCAAAGTTTTATTGATAAACAGATAGCAATGAGACAGTTTCAAATCAAATCGGAAGGACAGTTTCAACAAATAATACACTGCATATATTCTTCTTAGTGGTTAATTGCTGTACAAGATGCGGACTTGAGATCCTATTCACAAACACCATTAGAACAAATCATTCTATTCATTAAGAGAATGCAACTATATATCTATCCCAACCTCTTTGAATACACAGATACAAAATGGACATTCATCGGTATACCCCATTTTTTCTAAGTTCCGTTATTGAATATTATAGGTGTGTAAACTCAGCAAAATATTCCAAAAGAGTCCAGCAGCCCACAATAGCATTAGGTCTTTTGTTTAACTGGCAATGTCAGAAATTATTGACCTGAGTCCCCCACAGCTCAACATAACAACATGGCTTTATTTCTTATATTTCGTCTTCATACTTTTCTACTGGATGGTTAAGACCAAGGTAAAGCAGGACCTATGCAACAAGAGTTGTAGCTTTTTGGTCTGAGAAGGTCAGTGAAATGCCCTCAGGATTTGTCCTGAGATCCTGTACCTCAGATTATAGAACCTTTATCAGTGCTTCATTAGTACTTGATTGAACTATACAATGGTTACATTTATCATGGGAATTGGTACATGTACATAACACCACCTTAATTCTTTTTACATCCCCTTAACCTCCCGTGTCCAATTATTGGTCCCTTTTCCACTTGCAAATGGCATATTTCCCTGTTTCCAATATATCTTTATTTTGCTTTTTAATTTACTTATACTTTGATTTTCTTATATAAGAAAAACTATGTGACATTTAAGCCTGTCTTTGTTAACTCCATTGTATATAATTATTTTTTTATATATTAATTTTATTGAAAAGTAGCAATGAGACAGTTTCAAAACAGGTTAGTAGAACAGTTACAATAATGCATATTGTTGTCTTTGTTGTAGTTATTCATAGTACAAGATGCAGACATGATCTGTTGTCTAAACACTATTAGTTTGAAACTTTATTGAATTAAGGGAAAGTAGCTGTATATCTATGCTATTTTGTATATACAAATATATATATTTTTTCCACTACAAAATGGACCTTCATTTATTTATTTAGTTAGTTAATTTATTTATTTATTGAAACTAGGAATTGAACTCAGGCTCTTGCACTTTCCAGGGAAGCGCTTATTCTACTGAGCCATCTCTGCGGCCCCCTGGACCTTCATTTATATCCCCATTTTTTGTTTACTTTTGTTAGAGAGGAGTCTTTCCTTATAATACACAAATATTCTAAAATGTTGCTAGAGCATACACCAATATTTGAGCCACAGGGGCAGGAGTCTGTAGAGGAGGCCATTTTCACATCTCAAAATTGCCATGCCCAGCTACAGGTGTGTGTGACAGTGAAGGTGACAGAAAAGTGACACCCTCCCTCACCTCGTGCTTCTGCCTTCAGTGCCACCTACATATGTGTAGTGACTGCAGGAAAATGTAACTCAGTTTCCTGGTTTTCTGTACTTGTAATTTATACTATATGCAACTGCTATATTTGTGATATTGAACATGCCACTATTTTCACACAACGTGACTGTTTTGTAAGACCTGACCTCATTAACCTGATATCCTGAGAGTTATCATAAATATAAATGAGTCAGCTAGATAATTGCTTGAAACACCAAACTTTTCTACATCTGCTTAGCTTTTTGGCAAGCCTTTTATTAATTGCATGATTGTAAGCCTTGTTAGAGGACATAATTCACCAGCCATTTATGATGGCTAAGTATCATAACTCTCAACACTGTACTAAATTATAATGATGCTACTTTAGGGACTACAAAAACTAATAGTGAAAAAAAATAAAATAAATAAATAAAAAAAAACTAATAGTGTGGTGGTGCATACCTATAATCCCAGAGCTCGAGAGGCTGAAACAGAAGGATTATCAAGACTTCAAGGCCAGCCTGGGCTACATAGTGAGTTCAAGGCCACCTTAAAGAACAATAAGAAACTCTGTTTAAAAAAAAACTAGGCCCAGAGGATTACAGATGCATTTTCTACACCTAGAAGGAGTGGCATTGCTATTTAAGCTTCATGATACAACTGTAAATGCTCAGAAAAAAAAATTTTTTTTTTGAGACAGGGTCTCCCTATGTAGTGCAGGCTGGACTTGAACTCACTGTGTAGCCCAGGCTAGACTAAAACTTATGGTGAGCCTCCTGCCTCAGCCTCCCAAGTTCTGGGATTACAGGCATGTGCCTCTATGCCGAAGCGAAGAAATTTTGATGGCATGGTTATTTTTAATGTAACTGGTAGATAACTGAAAACTCCAGATATGAGAACTCTGGAGACTTAATATGGCATTGCTTAAGTCTTTGGTTCAATTCATACTCTGCAGTGAACACTATTATTTCTTAAAAGCTTTTTAAAATACCTAGCTCATGTTTTGGGTAATATGTTTGAGGTTTTTAAGTAAAGCGGCAGGAAACTTAATTCAGCCAAACCTTTAAAACTTTCTAGGGGCCAGGGAGATGGCTCAGTGGAATAAGCACTTCCCTGGCAAGTGCAAGGGCCTGAGTTCAATCCCTGGTTCCACCAAAAAAAAAAAAAAAAATTCTAGACTTGTATATACAAAATAGTTAGGATACAGCTACCTTCTATTAGTTTAATGAGAAGAAAGGTTTATATTAATATCGTTTAGACATGTCTGCATCTTGTCCTCTGAATAACTACTATGAAGACAACAATATGCAATGTATAAATTATTGTAACTGTCCTACTAACCTGTTTTAAAACTGTTTCATTGCTATTTTTTCTAAATAAAATGAATAAAAAATTTTTAAAAATAAAAATAAATTTTCTATAAGTATTTTATTGTCTTAATCCATTGTTGTATCTTCTTTTAAGTATCACCTTTTTCCTGCACTAAACAGTAATTCTATCTGGTGATGTTTGTTCAAGGGTCCTAAGCAAGACAAAACTGCCGAAGGGCAAGCACTAAGTGAAGCAAGAAAGCATTTAAAGGAGGAGACACAACTGCGATTGGTAAGCTAGGTGTTGCTTGGGTCTTCCTTCGCAGCTTGGTTTTCTTTTGCAGATCTGCTAGTACACAGGAATATTGATACTGCTCTGTAAAGTTTTTATAAATCCTATGAAATTCTTAACTCTTTTAAACCCACATTTCCCATAATGCTTTCTCAGACCATTTTTTTGAGTGTTCTCAACAGCAATAAGATTTTGCCACTCCTTTTTTTACCTTTGTAGTTTGTATCACAGAAGTATTAGTTGTACAAAAATGACTTTTATTAAACTTTGCAGTCCCTATCCCTGTATCACCTGGCCCTTTCTCCTATAAAAAAGTCAGTACAGCCAGAGAAAGCAGCCCCTCTTCCCCTTAGTAGGAATTGTAAATATAGAATTGCACTCTTCAGCTATTATTTCTGATTTTTTTTTATTAAGAATCTATAGGGTTTATAGGGTCTCACTACGTAATTGCACTCATAGTGATCCGCCTGTGTTCAGCCTCCCAAAGAGCTGGTATTGAAGGCACGTGCCACCAAGCACAGTCTCAATTGCCATCTCAGTACGCCCTGGGGGCGGAGCTGACACGGCATACCAGGGATTGAACCCTGGCCTCTGCATCTGCCTAAGCAGGCACTTTAATCCACTGAGCTATTTGGCTGGCCCTTGAATTTATTCTTGATCTTAGATATAAGTAAAAAAAAATTACAGAAAGGAATATTATTCCTTTTTTGCTTTGGGAGGGGTTACTTTTTTGAGACAAGGTCTTACTCTAGTGTAGGCTGGCGTCAAACTCATTATAAATAAGCCCCATGTAAGCATATTAGTTCATGCTAAGTTTAGATATATGATAAGCAAAGAAAATACCATAATGTCTCTAAGAATGGGGAAAAAACTAAAATTAAGGGATGACTTAATCTGCACTAAAAAGTTATTACAGATTACCATTATATCCAGGCATGGGGGCACAGACCTGTAATTGCAGCACTCAGGAAGCTGAGGTAGGATTTTGAGGTCAGCCTGAACTGTACAGTGAGTTCAAGGCCAGCCTGAAATAAATAAATAAATAAATATATATATATATATATATATATATATATCTTATCTAAAAAGTCAAAACAAAACAAAATCAGCAGTATATAACAATTTGAGGGGTTTTCTGAAAGTACAATAATGTTATTTTAACATATTTAAAACTGTTAGCATTTGCCATCTAGATGAATAAAAATTAGATCTCAAAACACTTTTCATAAGGAGGGTCATAGAATTAATACAGCATTTCATATAGCCTAGAGTTCATTTTCTGTCATGTACAGAAGGAAATCTCTGTTAAGTGATACTCAAAATCTTTACATTTTTCTTACTCTTTTATCACAATAAGGTAAATGTTTATTAAGAAAATTGGTGAGGCCCAAGGTATGCCCTGGTATAGGTGTATCTTTGCTCATCTCAATGTTAAAATAACTGACTTTGATGTTGCACCCTTATAATCTCAACATACTAGGAGGCTGACACAGTAGAATAACAAATTCAAGCCCAGCCTGGGTGACTTAGCAAGACCCAGTCTCAAAAGTTAAAAAAAAAAAAAAAAGGCGGGGATGTAGCTCAGTGTAAAGCCTTGTTCAGTCCCCAGTCTGATGATGACAGTGGCAGTGGCAGTGATGATGTTGTTGCTGCAGTGATCCCTAAAAATTCAGTTACATATATTGACCACTCCCAATAGCAGAGTTTACCCTGGAGGCCAGGCTTCTCTTCTGGGTTCCTTGGACTCTTGAATAGATCAACATTCAAATTTCAACTTACAAGTGTCTTGTTTTGTGCTGATTACTATCACACTGCATTTTATAATAAAACATAACATTTGTCTGTCTGTTGATGTACCATAGAGATGTGCTTCACTAACACTTCTTCGGCTATCAAGTCTTCAGATTCGTAATTATTGAGAAGTTACTGTATTACCCTAATTACTATTTTATTGTTAATGTTTCTGAACATGTATGGCAGTTTTGGGCTGTTTCACCATAGAATACAGACCTTCCTTTCCCTGTGAAACTGTATAGTTTGTTACAATTGGAGTAAAGAGTATAAGCACTGTATTTATGTCTGGGCAGGATGTTGAGAAGGAGCTGGAGCTCCAGATCAGCATGCGGCAGGAGATGGAGCTGGCCATGAAGCTGCTGGAGAAGGACGTCTGTGAGAAGCAGGAGGCACTGGTGTCTCTGAGGCAACAGCTGGATGACCTCAGGGCTCTTAAGCATGAACTGGCCTTCAAGCTGCAGGTAAGGGAGGAGGACAGGCTCACTGGTTCCTAGGACCTGAGGCTGTCTCACTCCTGTGCAGTGGTCACACTGGGAACATACTAGAGGTCGACTGCAGCAATACTTCGGAGAGTCAGACCATCATAGGATCTCCAGTTGCTGTTCTGAAAAACAAGGCCACTTTCTGTACTGCAAAGGGGGTTGGGACTCCTAGAAGAAATTTCTGCTGTAGCCTCAACATGCCAGCAGAGTTACATATTCTATTTCTCTAGTCTGTGCACATAACAATACTAACATAACAAATTTGTTTTAATTTGGAAATTAAATGATAAGCAAATATATGAGCATTTCTATTTCTCTATTTCCTACTTAGCCATTAGTTTCAAATAGCATGTGTGATTGTATTTCACAGCATTTTATGTATATATAGATTTCTATAATTATTTTACATACAGAGTTCAGACTTAGGAGTAAAACAGAAAAGTGAACTAAACAGTCGTTTGGAAGAGAAGACTAATCAGATGGCTGCTACCATTAAACAACTGGAACAAAGGTAAAAGGCTGTTTTTTATGTTAAACAAAAAACTGAGCTATCATTGTGATAAGGACATTTTGTATTCATTCAGCAAGTAAAAAATACATTAAATTCTCCCAACCCAAAAGTTAATTGTAGGGGCCAGGGAGATGGCTTAGTAGAATAAGTGCTTGCCTGGCAAGTGCAAGGGCCTGAGTTCAATCCTCCGTTCCACAAAAAAAAAAAAAAAGTTAATTGTAGATTTATAAATAAGCTTGAAACCTATGGTGGAGACACTCTGTCAAGCTGAGGCTGGAAGATCATAAGCTTGAGCCCAGCCTGGATTACTTAGTGAGATTCTGCCTCAAAATTTTAAAAAGGCTGCAGATGCAGCTCAATGTGAAAGCCCTGGTTCATTCCCCAGACAAAAAATGATGTCCCAGGAAAGCAAAACTGAGGCAGTTTATGACATAACAGATTGATTTTAGTATTCAGTTGTGCTTTTAAAGTGTATCAGATTACTTCTCAGTGATTTTTTTGACTTGGCATTTAAAGTAAAACTAAAATTATGAATCATCTCTCAATATTAAGCTGACTTTTCTCTTACAATCTTTGTGTTCCTTGTTTACCCATTTTCTCATTCCCTTTCACTTCATTTTCATTTTTATTTTGTTTAGTGAAAAAGATTTGGTGAAACAGGCAAAGACCTTAAATAGTGCAGCAAATAAACTAATCCCAAAACATCATTAGGCATTTATATAGTTGGTCACCTCCAAATCTGCTATCCCAAGATAACTGTAAAAGGAGGAAATCTGAAAGTTATTATATTTAACCTCTGATCTATTAAAATATCACCAAAAGTTGGCTGAATTTATTGGATTTTTTAAAAATAGTTGGATATATAAGTTGAATTTTTATATTATTTTCTTCTCAAAGTTAGAAATTTTGGTATAAATTCCAAATTAAATGCCAAATAAACTTAAATTATTGCGAGTTGATCAATAAGTAAAACACCATTGAAAAGCATAGGAAACTGAAACTCTGTACATATATTAACTCTGCCTTTGTGGCCAGTGCTTGGCACTTGCAGCTCAGGCATGGTCCACCCCATGTCTGCGCCAGCAGCCCGCTCCATGCTGCAGTGGAAAGGACTGAGCTGACCCTGTGCACTGGACTCTCTGAAGTAGTTCTGTGTCTTTTAGGCCACCACCCCCTTTCACTTTCATTATGTAGGTTAAATCCCCAAGCCAAGGATAAGTACTTAGTACACTATTTCATTACAGTTCTCTTAATAACCCAAGTTGCTTGCAATATTTTTGCCTTAGTGACTAAACAAAAAAAAACAAAACACAGCATCCTTACATTTCTTTAAAGTCCATAGAGTCAAAGTTAGTGATTAGGTAACTTACAATAACATCATGTGGAAGATTGAGAAACCCTCCTAATACTGGTTATCTCCTTCCTCTGCCCCTTTTCTGCAGTTCCATAGAGCAAATAACTTTCATAAAAACACTCCTATTAAACATGCACTATGCCCTCTCCAAATCTATCTTGATTTCCTCCTGGCAAGAAGAACAACTTATAGACATGAGTAATGATTCCTGTCTGTCCTTTCTTATCTGGAGACATTTACTACTTCTGTTACTTTTTGTTTAGATGGAGATTTGCTGCAAGTTCCCAGAAACTAATAATTAAATTAGCAGGAAAACATTTCAGAGTAGGAAACAGATAAATTATCAACTCACATTCTTTATTATTTACTATAAAAAATAGATTCCCAGTAGATATATACAAGCAATATTAGCAGGGCTTGTTTTTCTAAGTGATCAGATATAAGCCTTTCTGGGTTTTACATTGTAAATAATCCTATAAATACTTTTTTTAAATAATGATTTTTGATTTGCAGAGATAGACTTTTCATAAGCCTCCATTACTTCAAAAGGTCTTGACAGAATTTTCAGATTTTTTTTTTCCTCTTTCCAGTATATTTTGCAGCATTTTAGCTGTGGAAGTGAGGACAAAAAAAAACCCCATTTGTTTCCAGCTATTTTTTCTTCTTGACAAAACCAGAACTAGGAGAGTAAGATAGCTTTTATGTAGGTCCTTGAACCAGACTTGAACCAAAATCAAGTCAAATAATATGTTAGAACAGACTTCATGGAAGATCCTGCACTTTTGAATGTGTTTTAGTTCTACTAATTTTGCACCTATATAAATAAAATTTTCAGTGAGTCACCTTTCTATGAGCATTTGAAAGAAGTGATCAAACATCAAATAAAGATTACGCATAGCATGCATCTGATTCTATTACATAAAAGTCCAAAACATAGGTGCAAAGTTATACAATGTTCAAAAGAAGCATCTGTAAGAATCTTCCAGAGAACATGATTGGGTGTCTTATGAGGCCTAGTGCTGACTTCTTTGGTCTAATCTATCACACAACACTTGGCAGGAATGAAAAGGAAAGAGTCAAATTCTGATAAAAACTTTTCATGTACAATAACGTGAAGTTTGGGTAAGGGCTGATGTGTAATTTCAGTGATTTAAAATGTTTGATGAAAGGGCCAGAAAAAATGTTAAGATTACATATATAAGAAGGTAGTTAGCTGTATGCACATTCCAGCTATGTGTGTAATACAGAAAGATAAAGTACCAGACCCAGTAGGAAATGAAAACAAACAAGTGGGTTAAATTCAAATTACTATGTACTTGAGGTTGGCTTTGGATATGGATTTTTCTAAAAAGTGATGTTTTATTGTTTATCATCTAATGGCTGTAAACTGTAGTACTAGAATAAAAAAAAGTGGAAAATCAGCTTTTCCTCTGCCTGGTTCACCTTCATCTTGCTTTTTAAAGAATTTGTTTCTTTTCCATCATTTTCCTTCATGATTTTTTTTTGTGTGTGTCCTGCAGAGCGTTTCCTGTCTCCCTGTGCCTTCTTCCTTGGGTTATTTTATTTTGTGCTGTGAACTTGCTCTCTTCCACCATGGCTTTTGTTTTCATCCTGAGTTCATGTGGCTCACATCCAGATTGCGCCTGGCTGAGCAGGGCCGCCAGTCAGCTGAACTGGACAACCGGCTCTTCAAGAATGACTTCGGGGACAAAATCAACAGTCTGCAGCTGGAAGTGGAGGAGCTGACCAGGCAGCGGTGAAGAGAGGGCAGCTGAGCTTGACAGGGTTGGGTGCTGTCAACCTGCACAGCCCGTCTTTCCGTGTCCTTTTCCTTGGGTTGGGATCAGGATAGCTTCACATATGTCACCCTTTTCCAAAACCTGTCAACATCTGTGATTAAGAAGTAGGAAAACAGCCAGGCATGGTGGTGTACATGCCTGTAATCCCAGCACTGCAAAAGCTAAGGCAGGAGTATTACCATGAGTTTGAGGCCATCCTGAGCCACGTACTTATATTTTCCCCAAAATAAAACTGCGTCTTATATTTTTTCTCCCAAGGACATAATGTGGCTTATTTTTAGGGAATTTATTCATGTATGGAAACCCACATTTATCATTTGCAAAAGTCCACATTTATACAATCATGTCATCTTCTGGAACACTGTTCTTACTCTTTAAACCCCAAATTCCAGCCTGAATTTGTGACTCCATTTCCTGTAGAAGCATTGGCCCCAATCTCTCATGTCCAACAAAAAAATGTGTTCCTTAAATGAACATTTCCTGTCCACATAGCTTGCTCATAACACATCGTTACCACACAACATACTGAATTATGAACATTCATATTAGACACAGCCACATCTACCCCTCACTGGAGGCATACATTTATGTGTTGTATCTGTTCTCCAACTGGTCACTTGGCAACAGGCTTCTTGTTTGACTTGAATACCCAAGAGGTACTCATTTGGGTATTTACAAATACTTAATTTTAATTTGTTACTTCTTTTAAATATTAATGTAAATAATATTATTTATATTTATATAGTAATATTGTTATTTTGTAATCCAATATATCTGTTGTGTATTGCAGTGGATGCATTAAATGCATCCATTTGGCTAGTTGGTGATCTTAATGAACTCATTTTGGGGGTAGGGCTTATTTTCAAAGAAATAAGGTAGTTTGTAAAACCAGCCTAAATTACAAGGTAAGACCCTATCTCAAAAAACAAGCAAAAAAAAAAAAAAAATTCCAACTTAAAGTTCCAAATACATAATAGTTAATAGCCAACACAATGATAGTTCCCTGAAATTGTTTTATGTGCCACATGCAGTCACTCTGGCTGTCTTCCCATCAACTCCTTTAGTAAGTGATGTTACTGTCCTTATGGAATTACAGCACAGAGGGGTTAAACATGTCCAGATGCACACAAAGTATAAATGGCAACACTGTCATTTAAAGTTAAGTTGCTCTGACTCCAAACCTTACTGGTCTCCCATGTTTTCTCTCAAATGCACTCATGTACTGAAGCTACTGGAAAGTTTGTCAGATATAAAACACCGGTGGCTGAGGGCACAACTGGTATTGAGTTCATAAGTACAAGAGAAACCAGCTGCTTACTGCAAAGTAGTATTTAGTGTCTGTATTTCTATTTCCTGATGACATTTATAAATGCTGTCAGGTCCACAACTCTTCAGTAAGAGCTAATGTAAAATACTGATATTTAAGTTGGGTGTGGCAGCACAACCTATAATCCCAGCACTCTGAGAGGTTGAGGCAGGAGAATTACAAATTCCAGTCCAGTCTGGACGATTTAAGAGCTAAGTGAACCTCTGCCTCAAAATAGAAACTAAAAAAGCTGTGGTAAAGTTCATTAGAAAGACCCTGGGTTCAGTCCCCAATATCACCCCCCAAAACACATATGAGCAATACCCACATGCACATTTCTAGGTGTTGAGAATGATGACCTTTCAGGACCAAGTGAGCCTAAAGTGTACTGTTAATCACCCAAGAAAGATTAAGCATATTTCATGATTCTTAGCATTACTGGTTTTATTGTACTTTAGTACTTTAAAGCTTGGCTGTTTACATATGTTTGTAGCTTTTTTTCAAGTACTAACTACTGAACTTTAGCATTCTTCAGAAAATGTAAATACAGAAATCTAAATTTTTCTTCTTTTTCTTTCCTACTTATCCTAGGAACCAGCTTGAATTAGAATTAAAACAGGAAAGAGAAAGAAGGTCACAAAACAGTCAGAGCCTGCCAGGCAAGACTTTGCAAATGCCAGAGCCCAAGACGGTAATGTTTGTTATTCCTTGTTCATTCCCTTGGTTTATTTTAATGGGCCACCAGTGCAGACACTGCCCATCCCTGTCCTGGGTCACACACTTAATTGCTATGGCCTGGAGAATGTGGATAGTAAACCAGGGACAGAGGAATCTAGACAGCTTGAGTCAAAGCTTTCCTCATGCATGCACTAACTCAATTTAGTGATTTCTAGTGACTCTGCTCCTTTAGTTTTTAAAGATTAATGTGTTTCTTAGCTTTCTGCTTATAATTTTTAATAATATGATATAGTAATTCCAACCCTGGATTTCTTTTGAAGTTTCTCAAATGTAGATTTGCTTCTTTATACCTTTCAGTCATGAGGATTTCAATTTGAGTATGCACACAGGGAACTGGGCTCAAAGAAGAGTTAACAATGTAGAATAATTTAAAAAGAGACAGAAACTTCTACGGAACAGTCTTCAGCTACTGCAAGACTGAGGGAACAGGAGTCAGCCTCTTCAGATAATGACCTCTGAGAGGCATGAAATTTTTTTTTAATCAAAGAAATTGCCCCCTTTGTGTATGTGATTACATATGACAAAGCATGGCATAGTTTTAAGCTTAGAATTTCTAGAGAGTGAGCCACTGATTAACTGGTAAATGTAAACAAGCTATATAGCACCTGTCCAATGCTGATCATTTAAGGTGCCAGAGCCATCTAAGAGACGTACTGGTTTTTATCAGTTTGGTGAACATAAAACTTGAAGGACTTACAAAGGTGCACTTAATATCTTAGCCTACCTTATCCTGTGTTTCCAAAGCGCTTTAGGTCTCTTCACTCTTGAACTGCCCTATGCTCAGGTCTCTAGGAAGGTGAACATTACACTGACCTCTCCCTTGATATTTGAGTAGTCTAAAAGAGTCCACTGGGGTGTCCAGGTGACTGTCCAAAGGTGACATGGTGAGTGGATACAGCTGCGCCTGCTTTCCCAGCTTTTCAGAGTTCATTCATGGGAGGGAAGGAGATAAATGTATATTCCTATGAAGTAAAATATCTTGAAATAAATAGGATACATTTTTTTTTTAATTTTTTTTTTTTTTATTTGAGAGAGAGAGAGAGAGAGAGAGAGAGACAGACAGACAGACAGACAGTAGTGTGTGTGTGTGGCCAGCTCAGCCCACCAGGGGGCGGGGCTGGCTGGCATGTGGTGCTGGGGGATTGAACCGCGGTCCCTGATGCTTTGCCAAGCTTGTTCTAAGTAGGTGTCTCAGACCACTGAGCCATCTCTCCAGCCCCAATAGGATACATTTTAAGTATATAGCATACACACAATTTTATTAGGAATGTCAGGAATTCAACCATTACTCTCAAGGTGATTTATTACAAACCATATTAGAACAGTTAACAAACTACTTGGAGGAAAGTCTGAGGAAGCATGCTTGAACATTAAAAAAAAAAAAAAAAAAAAAAGATACTCATGCAGTTTCATAGTCAAACCAAGGCAATACAGAAAATGTGTGCAGTATCATTGTTCAGCACCCTGAATAATTAATAAGCTGGGTTATTTTCTTTTGGCAGGATGGGAGACACAAAATCCAAGAGGAGAATGTTAAACTAAAAATGCCCCTGGAAGGAAGCCACAGGTGTTTGTTAATCAAGTATTAACTAAGATAAAATCATTTTGGGGTGGAGGGCAAGAGGGGGATTTTAATAATACATGGACATTGACACAGACCAAACACTGATTTAGTATATTAATTTGAAAGACATTCTGAAGCAAAATAAATAAACCATATAACATTTTAAAGCCAAACCTACTAAGCCATTTAGAAGGGTAATTAGCTGGACATGGTATTGCATGCCTATAATCCCATCATTTGGGAGGCTGAGGCAGGAGGATGAAAGATTGTCATGAGTTCAAGGCCATCCTAGGCTACATATTGAGTTCAAGTTCAGCGTGAATTACATAGGAAAAAAAAGGTCAAGCAGTGAGGCTTTTCTGATTATTTTCTTGCTTACTCCTGAACTGTTATCACTTAAAAGATTATTTTTGTAAATCAGGTA